ATGCAATAAATAGAATAATGTACTGAGTCATAAGTGAACTGTACAGCTTTTTAGTGCATGAGAACATGAATTTGGCCAGAAACTGAAGTCAGTGGTGAAATGGCTGATGTGATTGTCCAAACTGAGAGAAATAGGACAATTGAATATATTTTGAAATAATTATTCAACATTTATAAGTACAACGACAAAACCTCTGGGATAAAATACTAGCATCACTAAAATCAGTTGGAGGTTTGTCCATGTTTTCACAAGGGTTTTGTTTGTATTACTTGTCTTAGTCTGTGCTTATTTTATGGAGCCAGTTTCTGAACTGTGTATGTGTATAGCTGATATTTTACATGCACAGACAGCAAAATAGCACCCTTACAAAATAGGATTTCTCTAACATGTGGCTTGGGAAATTTTTGCCACTTAGAAGAGCTTCAGTGTTGTGGTGCCATTGCATTTTTATGAGACTTTCCAGCAGAGGAGCTAGATATCTAGTTACACACTCACTAGTTAACTACTTGTAGTTTAAGCCCAGCCAGTAATTCAGAACCACACAGCGTTCACTCATGCACCCCGCTCTGGGTGGGATGGGGAGGAGAGTTGAAAGAATGTAAACCCCATGGGTTGAGATAAGGATAGTCCAATAACTAGAGTGTAATATTAAACTACTGCTACCACTAATAATAATAACAATAACAGTAAGGGAAATAGCAAGGAGAGAGAATATAAAACTAAAAGGGGAAGGGAAAAAAAGCCAATAAACACAAGTGATGCACAATGCAACTGCTCACCACCCACCGACCTATACCCAGCCTGACCCGAGCAGTGATTTGGGCCTTCTGGGTAACTTCCCTCAGTTTTTATACTGGACATGAGGGGCATTATACCCTCATACATTATATCCTCACTCGAGGGCACAAGAGAGACTAAAAATTCCTTGATCAGGGTAAGCGCTACTTAGCACATGGCTGTTTTAGTTGTTGCTGTCAGCATTGTTCTCAGACTAAAGCCAAAAGACATCACTGCACCAGCTACTAGGAAGGAGAAAAAATAACTGTTACAACTGAAACCAGGACGCTACTGTTTGCTGAATGCTCTGAACAACTGATACAAGCAGATGTAGTAATAACTATGTAAAACAATTTAACAAAAATTGAATGCTCATGTGCACAGAGGGCAGTCATACTGCAAGTTTTTCATTTGAAATGGAAAATAGATTACATTATGTGGTTATTTTTTTCATAAAAACTGTGACTAAACAGCTTGGTTTAGAGCATGAGCCATTTTTTATGAGCTTTTGTATTACTTTAGCTATTTACCATAAAAGACAAATACGTAGTGAAACAGATTCCAAAAATGCTTTAATACAGAGAAAGTCTTGGGTATTTGATGTCAAAACTGGGTGTCTTGGGGGCATGCTTCAGTCATGTTACAGGATTGCTCCAGGCCTCTAAACTGAGCATGTTAATGCCATGCTGGAGCTAGGCATGGACCAAGCAGAAAAGTAACAAGAGAATTCTGTGCTTCAGCATCTTGTATTACTAAATATCAGATATAGTATAAATATAGTATACTCTATGGATAGTTATGCATTACTATATTGTATTACTTGGCAATGTTTAGTGAAGCCCTAAATTTGAGGAGGCTATGTAAGAGATTAATAAAAAAATCATGGTATTTCCTTTTGTTAGGTAGAAGGCATTATTAAACCTTTCCTTAATTATTTTAAGTTCATTCAAGAACAGAACAAAACTGTGGAAGTTAGCTGAGTGTAGGAATTTGCAAGTGGACTTTTAGAGTAAAGTGTTTAATGGTTCTTTTTACTCAAAGTAATTAAATGTTAAATATATTGACGTGCTGCTTAAGTTGGCATTCTTTAAAAAATGCAGATGTTGAAAACATGAAAGTATTCACCCAGGTATGTTTAAATAAGAAAGATTTTTACACCAGATATTTAAATAAAAAAACACAAAAAAACCCACAACCAGAAAATTTTATTTTGACTGACCATATTTCAAAGACATCAACATCTGTATATCCCATTGTAAAGACCTTTAAGACCTTCATTGTAAGCCCTGCCAGACACTTTCAGTGTTACAGCTACATTTCGTAGTTGATCTGAAGTGGAGAATGTGTTAATATAGGCTGCCTACTGATAAGCAGTTTCAGAAGATGACTTCATCATTACTATATATAGGAGGTGCTAAAAAATAATTGGAAAAGGGTTCACAGCAGGTCCATCATATAGAAGGCAGCATGTGAAATAAAGCATGGAAAACTGAAGAAATGAAATATGAAAAAAATAATTGCCATTCTGGCTTGATGTGAAGAAGTAGCAGTAGTACACACATATTTAGTGTGGGAGTAATGCATCAGCGGACTGTGGCTTGCAGGAAAAGGCACTCAGAGAGAGGGAGGGGATAGCAATAGACTGGCAGCATAAACCAAACATTTTGTAAATATTGGCTGGTTTTCTTAGTGAGGAAAAACCTCACAATTTTTGGTTAACTTTCAGATTCTAAGCAAGTTTGTTTCCAGTGCTAGTGGAGCTGTTGCAGTAACTGAGCGATTTTTGCTGTTAAAAGAAATGTTCATTGTCTACTTCTTGTGAAACATTCTTCAGGATGCTGTAAGTTGCCTAATTGCTCCATTAGGACATGGAAATTCAGTTATCTGTAAAGGCTTTAAGCAAATGCTGAGATTCGTGAGTCGATTATTATTTCAATAAATATATATCCATTTTATTCAAGGCATAGCTAGACTACCAGTGCTCTTTAGTAATGGGTATTGTCACAGGTTGTATTAGTATGTCCCTGTACCTGTTACTTTTTACTATTGGTACTAGTTTTTCATTATTGCTAAACCACTCTTCATTTGATTTTATTTCACATTCTGAAGTAGTAGTTAAAATGTTACCTAAAAATTGTATAAGGTGCTTCTAAAGTTATAAATGGCTTAGTTTTGGTTACAAAAAAAAAAGGGAAGTACCGATCGGACTGCCAGAAATGTTCAACTTCTGGAAAACTCTTCAACCAGCCCTACTAGTGATTGTTACTAATCTGCTAGTGATCATGAAGTTAGCTGTAGGTTTAGGTAACCTATCTGTGATCCTTGTCTGAATGTTTGCAAATGGTTATGAAACCCAAGCTTCAGTACCATAGTTAAGAGGTTTATTAGAAAACATGGAAGAGCAGTATCTACTAGTTTTTCCAAATATCTGGGACAAAATAAAGAAGACGAAGTGCTCATAGCCAGAGGATTTTTTTTTTTTTAAGTTCTCATTCCTCTTACTTTACATTTCTTCTTTATTTGCTTAGGCACCCCTTGAAGTCACTCTATAATTTGATCTCCACATCCTTCTGAATGCACTATGGCTCCTTTTTTGTCTGTGGGTAATTTAGAAGATTTTTGCCAGGGAACTTCCCTGAATTTCTGTTGCCACTCTATTACTTTCATGTAACTGTTTACTAAAAGTTAATTTGTTAGGCTTATCTCATTTAATAAGTCACACACAAGTTTACTTTAGGAAGTTAGTTGCATAGTAGAAAATAAAGAAAATTAGAGCTTAGAAATTATTTCTTGGTTAAAATCAAAGATGTGGGGTAGCTCTTCTTGCGAGGCTTCTTTCAGAGAAGAGTTCAAAAACCTACTGTTTAACATCCCTTTTTACTTAAAACCAACTATTTAAAATGTTTAATGCTATGTATATGCAACAGCACATGAAAGCTTTGGATATGATACTATTTTGATTTAACTTAATCTGCATTTTTCTTAATGTGTCATGAAATTATAGTGTTAGCTTTTAGTTTTGTGTCTGTATGTACCCTTGCATCACAGATATTTTCATGTGAAAGCAGCTTGTCTCATAAAACATGTTTGGTTTTAAGTGTCAAAGTGCCTTTTACTTTTGTTCAGAACCAGGACTTTCTAGCCCTAGAAATTAACATATCACAAAACTTATTGCCCATTACCTAGCTCATAAAAGCAGTACACATTTTGGCAAAGTACAGTCATATGTGGATCATCCCTGTGGTGTTTTATCGTTATCTTATCATCAAAGATTCTAGCTTGGCATGAGACTGGGTTTTCAAGCTCATAGTCTTCTCTTTGTAATTTTATTAAAATTACTAAGAATTTTATATTCAGACAATACAAAGCTTGGGTCTCATTATTCTTGACCGTGAAGCTTATCTGCTACCCTTTCGTATAGAGAAAATAATCCAGTTATTTTTGATACAATTTTCTCTTTTTTAGTTGTGGCTTTTTTTTAAAATCAGAAGTATACAGCTTTGTTGATGTCCGAGGACTGTTGAAACCCCACAGACGATAGGAAACTTTGTCTTTTTGTGAAAACAGAGCCATGCTGTTTCCCTTCATAAAAAAAACAAGTTGAATGGCATTTGAATCCTGTTTTTTGAGGACAAAACTTAAGAAATTATGAAAGACCCACAGCAAGAGCCAAGAGATGCTAGGCTTCATCCTGGTGCTAAGAGGTGGTTATTCTCCTTCCTGTCAGCAACTTTTCCTGTCAACTCCTTTACTTCAGTTTTGTACTGAGAGAAAGCTTGTTGCATCTTTGAGGTGGTATGAGGCTTGATCTATTCATGATAACTTTTGAATCAGCTTCAATATATCATTAAACTTAATGAGCTCTTTTCCTAGAGCAAGCCAGTCTGTAGCTGATAGAACTTTTGCCTTTTTATTTTCTTTGAGGTTGAGAATTCTTTCTTTGATGCTAAGTTCTTTTCACATCTACATGGAGACATAAGGAATTACAAGTTCTGTGAGAAATGCAGTCAGATGGCACCTTGAAAGATTATGGCTCACTTATTAATTAGACACAAAATCACTTTCCTCCAAATCATTTTATGGAAGGTGGGAAAGGGGAAAATGCCATCAAAAAAAAAAAAAAATCCCAGACCCACAGCTGGTTGAGCCGTACAAGTCCTGTGGCCTTGGCATTGTGTGGGTTTTGTGACCGCTGGTTTGTGCTGGTGCTTTACTGATGGGCTCCTGGTGTGTGCTAATGCTGCTGTGCTCGTGCTTCAGCTGCTGAGAGTTTAAGAGCAGGAGGCACAGAGAGCAGTCGTTCTGATCAGTTTCCTCTACTGGCCCTGAACACTTCTGTCTCTGTCAAATCTGGAAGTTACTGAAGAGGATTAAAAATGGTTTGTTAGTTCACACACTGGTAAATGCACGAAGAGATTTGGTAGGCCTTGTTTCCTTGGAAAGCTAGTTAATCTGCCCTCTGCTGAAGCTTCTTTTCTTTTCTGTGCCCCCTAAAATAATACAAAAGGCTACTTTTTTTTCTTCAGGCAAAAACTTGCCATGTTGTCTTCTCACCCGGTTGGTTGTATGGCAACCCAGGGTGTTGGAGGGCACAGCCTGGGGCTTGTCAGCATGAGCAGAAGCATGATGCCTTTTGACCTGTTTCCCTGGGGAAGCCGGTTGGTCCTGGCAGCCTTTCATCAAGGATATTAAAATTCTGGCTTTAATATCCTAGTTGGGTTAAAACTTGCTTTCAGTCTTAGAGTCCCTTGCTGCTGTTCATCATTCACCTCTATTAAGCAGCATGAACTAATTCCTTGGCTCGCTGGTGTTTTCTTTTATGCTGTTAGTACACAATGTGATAGTGGGAGTGTTGGACTAGAGGTGAATAGCTCCATGATTAGCCAAGTCCTCCTCCTGAAATGGTAGGTTTAGGAATTGCTGTCCTTTAAGAAAACCTGCAGGTTTCCCCTTTTGCAGGAAAGAATTCTGTGCCAACCACCACTATTTTATAAGGATCTTAAATCCTCAGCCCTAAAAGAAAAATTGTTTTATTCTGATACAGAAACCAATTCTGTAAATGTATGTTTTCTGCTGGGTAAAGTCAGAATTTCTTACCCTTGTATTCACAGGTAAGAAAAGTGGCAAGTACAGCAATTAGCTAATTCTAGGTTTTTTGTTTTTTTTTTTTTTTGCTTCAAAATTCATCAACAGCTGATCCCAGAATACTTCTGAAAATAAATATTAGTTTAATAAATCATGTAACAGCAAGTTTGTCTATGTTGAAATTAGTCTTCAGGGCTTCCTTTTTATGAGGCAAGTCAGCAGTCTGCTGTTTGACGTTATTTCTAATAGCTGAAGTCCTTAGGCTAAATAAGCCGCTAGAAGTTGCCTTGTAGCTGTATGTTGGAAATTTTCAAAATTAGTGTATCTGTGTAAGTTTCTAATTAGTTGGTGTTAAAACATTGATGATGGTGGTGATTATGCAGTCTACTTAATTTCATTTAAATGTTTAAGAGAATTTACTGAGGTGTTTTTTGGGTTTGTGCTTGTCTCTTTGTCAAGTGTGGTAGGCAGTTTTAGTATGGATTTGCATAAGGAGCTGGAAAAAACTTTCCAGCAAATATTTTAGATATGTACTGTGACAGATGATGTTATTTTTTTCTTAATAAAGGAAGACTACCAAAAAGATATTTTTAGTCAAAACTGGCAGGAAATTAAATAGGTAAGGCAACTGGTTTAGGGCCACTAAGCAATATTTACATATGCTTTCAATCTGATGGTCTGGTTTTTGAGTCTTGTTATAAGACCTGTAGCTGATCAGTTTCAATATTTTAACTTTAAATTTCATTTTAATTTCAAAGAAGTCTTACCTGGTACCTGTAGGCTGAGTCTTCTAAGAAATTAGGTTTTGATTTTTAATACTAATTTTAGAATTTTTCTTGCTGGGATTCATAAATTTCTACTAATGTGCAGTTGAAGTAAAATTGCATAGGGATCTGTGGATACAGAAATGCATAAAAATAGAAGGTAATACCAGTGTTTCCAGGACAGAAGGTGATAAAAAGAATAATTGGCTGTGTCTTTACTTGTGCCTTGTACTTGTACTCCTTGTACTTGTACTTGAACTAAAAATATGTCTCATGCTGAAGACCAGATTTCCAGCATTTCTTGTTGCACTACAAATGTAATAAAAAGAAAAGCAACCAAAAGTTGAATGTTGAGTAACAATTTGTCATGAATGCATTATCCTCATGCAAATATCTTTCCCGAAGACAATGTTATATGAAAACTTTTCCATCAACTTTTGCACTCAGCCTTTTTCTATCTTCTAAGTAAAATTATGACTTTTTTGTTGGAATTGTAGAATTTTGCTGCTTTTCTTTAATCTGCCTGTTTCTAACTTTGTACTTAGTTGTTATTCCGATTGCTGACTGAAAGTAAAATCCAAAAATTAAAAGCTTACTGATTTTGCAGACAGACCTTTAAAACCTCTCTGGTGATAAGTAGTAATTCTCATTCATCCTCATGGAGCTGGCATTTGATTCCGCTGAAGGCTGCTTGTTCCTTGTCCCGATAGAATGCTTGCCTGTGGGCATGTTGTTCTGCCGTGTCTGATCCCAGTGACCAATGAGATTGCAATATGAGAATCGTCCAGCCCCTGTACCAAGGAGTAATGATCAACAATGCATTCTCCATGCACATAGTTTATTAGCAACTCACCTACAAAGTGCTTATAATGCCTGGCCACTTTTCTGTTATGAGGCAAATGCAGTTACGCTGAGCTCGCTAAGGCTCTGCACAAGTGTCCTAGGTGGAAATGGTTCCTAGGACTGAAATATTGTTTCTGTATAAGTGGACTTTATGTGATGGGCTGTGTATTCAGAAATGCCAGGCTTGAAAAAAGAAATGCAGATGTGAGAGCTGAATGACTTTCTCATGCACTATTATCTTTTTTTAATAACAATGGTAAGAACTCATGCTTCGTCTGGCTTGTCTTAACTAACCTGTAAGAAACGTGAAAATGCAGAACATCTAAGATTTATTTTAAATCAAGTGTTCTTCTATAATCTGTGGATGTTAGAAGTGGTGATATTCCATTATTTTTCAGCACAGTAGTAATTGGCAATCGTTGTATGCAAAAACCTCCTCTGTTTTCAATCTCTTTTTCAGGTTTTGAGTATGAATCTTTTAAGCAACAGCTAATATGAATTTTTCTGTCTGTTACTCTTTGAGTACTCTATCCAGACAGCTTTTGCAGTAAGCCTGTAGCCAAAGAAAAATGTCATATTTTCCTTATAATTTTTGAAATTAATCAATCATTTTAGTTAGTTAAGAGCTACTAGAACAGAAGAAACTTGAGATCTTGAGATCATGCTAGGGAAATGATTCTTCCAGGGCTGATTGAAAACTGCCTTGTAAAGCAGTATCATCTGCAAACAAGCCAGTAAGTGCAGGCATAGCAATTAGTTATGTAGATGGTACTCTGTAAGCTAGACCAGCTGTTAGGCTATAAATGTAAAGGAATGCAGAGGACAGCCACTGGTTGGCTGAACTTGGTTTTCTGTTTCATGTACTGCTGCAGAGCACTACTTAATTTGAAGACTCAAGCAAGTTACAAGGACTGTTCCTAGGCTATTTTTGTTTGCATTTGAAAACCAGAAGATTTTCTGAGATTTATAGGATCTCTTCCCGCTTCATAGAAGATGCAGAAATCAAGAAAATGCCCTTGAGATGACAGATAGCTTATGATGTCAAAGTGATGCTCTCTGTTCTGTGTGTCATGTTGGAGGTCACACTAAGTACCTCTAAGGCTCCTTCTAAATTGTACCTTATAGAAATGCAAAAGTGCATATTAGCTATTTAACATTCAGAGTAAAATCTTGTTTCAGTCTCGAGCTATGAGTTCAACAATAAAGATGTACTTTTTATGGCTGAGCCTTACTTGAAAAAAACTTATGTCATGCAACTCATTGGTGTTTAGCTTCTTTCTTGTTGCCTGCTCTGGCAGATAGGTTGCAAGTCTGTTGCCTGTGTCTTCTTGCTTTTTCCATATAACCAGCATAAATTCAGTAGAAATCATTAGCGTGGGGACCTTGCTTCACCTTTCTAATGCAATATGACACATATTGTCCTTGTGTTCCTAGACTGATTACTCATTACGTTTTCTTTCAGATGTTAAGGCTATGCACATAAAATGAAATGCAGAAATCATCCAAACAAATATGAGTGACCATATATCACACTCATCTATGTCTTTATGGTTACTGAATAGTAGCTGAAGTAATCTGGGACCTTTGTTATTGAATGCAGTCAGGGTTGCCTTTTGGGCACAATCTGTTACTGACTTCAAGGAACGTAATAGTTTGGCTGGTATTCAAGAAACAGCTGATTGACACACAGCCTCTCCAACTGTTGCCCGCTGTCTAGTTTATCTCATTATAACTCAATAAAAAGGCAGCTATGAGCATCTACCAGATTCCTTTGCCCTGCTCTCAGGGTCTTGGCCATTGACTTTTCAGGCCAGAATATATGATAATGTATCAAATCTGAAATGCTAACGCCTATACTGAGCACAGAATTGTCCCCCTCTGCTACTTTGTGGGTCAGAACCCTCACAGATTTTTGCAAACAAGATGGCACCGATGTATTTTCCTACCTGGCTGTCCTGAAAGGGTCATGATCTAAGTACCTGTTATCCTGAGAACCTGATTGGGGTTGGTCTTTTTTTGTTTTTTACATGCTGTGTTACATATTGTTTAGTGTTTTTCCATCAGCCATGTGAAGTCATTAGCAGCACTCAAGTTACAGGATCAAGTGCCAGGAACATGTGTCTGCCATTCAAACCACGACTATCTTTATTTCAAGCAAAAATTTCCCTCTTTCCCCTTGTTGAAATGAGCACTTGAGAGAAAGTGGTGGAAGCTTAATATGTTAGAAGTAAGTATGTTGCCAAGAAAATGTTGAAAGTATTTCCAAGAACTTCTGTTACTCTGGTAGTTTCTTCATTAAAAGCTACCATTGGGCTGTCATCAACATGGGCCCCAGCCTTACTGTCCTTCTAAACTGCATTGTCTGTAGTTGGCATTTCAATTCTACAAATATAATCCCATGGACTGTTGGATTGAATACAATTCTGCTAACTCTGAGGTTTGATTAATGGAAGGCATTTCATTTGGAATGAAACATAAGATTAGCCTCTTAAGCTACATAAATTGCTAGAAATGCATCACAGTTTTTCAGTTTGTCTTTTTTTCTCTAGAAGAGAAAGCAGAATCCTCAGCATAAAACCTCTGAAGAAGTTCTCCTTTTCTTTAGTGAATATTAGGAATTTCTGTGCAGCTGAGACTATTTTTACACCTACACAGTATTTGTCCAAAGGAGCAACACAGCTTACAGGGTGTTAGTGCTTCATCACTTAGAGAGGCTTAAAAGTAGATAGGATTGACAGCTTGCCTCATAACTTTCTTAAGCTTTCCATTTTACATAAATCATTACTTTTTTTTTCTTTCACTACTGTTTGTGGAGTTTGATTCTTTATGGACATAGTCTGAGGAATAGTAGGGCAATGCCTTAAACATCGTCATGAGGAAGCCTGTTCTGTGCATTAGAAAATGACATGGCCTCCTGTGACAAATAATATATTGTCTTTTGTAAATCAGCATGCAAAACAACTTTCATAAGCAGTTACTTCAACATTGTGCCCCCATCTGAACATCCAGTCATGAGACTTAGCTATGGCAGTGGTCAGGACTACGTCAGCATTTGGTTAGTTACTGGAAGGGTGTTGCGGATTTTGCTCTTTTGAAGCTGGTTCAGGCACTCCAGTTTATGTTGGTAACTGAAATTTATAGCATCAAAAACCAAAACTACTGTAGGAAAGATATATCCTGGTGAAAGAAGACCACTTTTACTTGGTCAGATATTTTCTTGTGCCATGGGACTTCACTTCTCCTAGTAGGCATAAGGCAGTTACAACACAGCTCCAAATTTTTCCTGCTCTTCAATTTATACAGTCAACCTATCACTATGAAGTGTAAATGCCTTTCAGTGTAAGATTGAAGTAGTGAAGTGGTTACTTTGTACAAACTTTGGCAGCTCTTTCTCTTTTGAGTAAGATAAACTGCATGGAGTTTTGCTTTAACTCATGTTTATCAATTTTGATCAGCATAATTTCAGTAGTGTCAATATTAAAAATGTTATTCTTACAGTGGAAATTTGTTGGTTTTTTTTTCTTTGTTTTTCTTAAGAAAGCAAATTTTGTGCTGTTCTTGAAGGTGTCAAACTGCAGCATTCACTTTATTGAAGTTAGATCCCAAGTGGTGTTTTTTCTCCAGCTCATACTGATTTTCATGAGTTACTATAGAGTGCTGTTGCTGCTGAGATCTTCAGTGATGTTCAGTATTTTGTTCAATTTGTTATTTTGAAAATTAGGCTTAAAAAAAAATCAATGAATGTTGAAGTTTTTCTGAAATGGTAGACAGCTTCCGGATACTCCCTGGTGTGTTTTGGAAGTCTAAACAAATGAGAACATAAAGAATTGAACTTCAAAACATCATAATTTTGTGGTAGTTCTTAATATCTTAATTTGATAGCAGTGGATTACTCCAGTAGTATGAAAACAGCTGATGATTAATAACATATTAATCTTGCAAGTCCTAAAGTTTAGTTATTTCTGCTCTTTGCAGACTTTTTCTACCACTGTCTCCCCATTTTTACTGTCAGTGGTAGGTGGTGACAGATCTTGCTCTTTAACTTATTTTCATATTGCTTATTCTCTAATACTTGTGCTCAATGGTTGTTTTCCATCTGTGATCTCTGGCAGGCTTCTAGTGGGCATGGGAGATATCTTGTCAATAAGAACAGGTCATTGCTTCTGGTCTTCTCTTTTCTTTAGCTTTTTCCCCTCCCCTCACTCCCCTCAAACAGTGGTCTCAGTCTTGTCTTAGCTGTTTAAAATGTTCTGAAAGACTCCTTCCTTTTCACACAGCAGCAAGATTATTCAGGTGATAATTCTCAAACTGCTGGTAGTGAATGAATACCATATTCTGTCCACTGAGTAAGACAAGAAGATGGAGTGACTTTAACAAGAGTGTTGTAGTCTGTTGTGTGTAATACTGTATGGGTTCAGTTCTCTTTGACCGGTTTGCTGTCTGGAGAGTAAGATAGGCAGTTTTACCTTGGTACTCTTCCTTTGAGCCCCTAGCTCACAGGGGATGGAGGAAGGGATACTGGTTTTACTTCATGACCTCTGACCATGAAGTATAATGCATCATGTAATGTTACTGCTTCTTTGTGTAGCTCTGCTGTTCTAATTGGTTGAAATAGTTTTGATACAGGCTTTTTTTTTTTTTTTTTCGTTTCAGAATATAATGGAAAAACAGGAGTGGAAAAATACCTTTCCATTCCAAAATAAAGTGTCATCTATTTCCTCAGCAAAACCCATATTTTCTGATTGAAGCTTTTCTAGCTTGTTCTCAACAGCTTCCTGTGATAGAGATGCTTTGGAGCCCTGTGCAAAGCTGAAGGTCAACACTGGTTATGTTAGGGCTAATGTGTTGTTTGCCTTTGGGGGATGATGGGGTGGTGGTATGGTTT